ATAATCAGAGCTCGGTGAGCTCAAAGGTGATGTAGCTAAATAAGCAATGGTCTTAATAAAATAATCAGTGAGCTTACAGAAGACACCAATGAAAGCTGGATGAGCTAAACAAAATGATGAAAAACATAAATGACTAGCTTACCAAAGAATTAGAACCAATGAAAAGGTAGCAAACAGAAATTCAGGAGGTAAAAATTCTATTAAAAGTATGGGTATCTGGGGAGATAGCTCAGTAGAATAAACACTTACATGGCAAACACAAGGTCCAAGTTCAAGCTCTGGTACCACAAAAAAAAAAAAAAATTGGGTAGCAAAAGTGACAAATGGGAAGAGTGTCAGATCTAGACCACTGGGCTGATGCATGAGACTGTACATTTAGGAACACCTTAAAGAGAACAGAAACTCATGGAATGTGGACCCATCAGCTGCTACATAATGCAAGAAAGACTAGCATGAGTTGAAATGGAATCAGCCAAGGACCAGAAGATAGCACAGAAACATTACAAATATCTGTTTACAGAAACAATAGCAGAAAACTTTCCAAGTAGAGAGAAAAAAATTATCATACAGATAAGCAGGAAATAGAGAATTCCAAATACCTATGATGAGAAAAGAACTTGTCCACAACACATCATAATCAAAATCCCAGAAAGCCAAATTTAGGACATGATCTTGAAAACTGTTAGAGAAAAACAAATCACTTACAGTGTTAAGCCCATTAGAATTCCTTTACACACCTTAAAAGCCAAATGATGTTGGAGAAAAGTATTTCATGTTCTAAAAGAAAACAATTTCTAAACATAATAATATATCATGTAGAACTATCTTTCAAAATTGATGGAGAAATAAGGACTTTCCATGACAAAACATATCTTAAGATATACATAACCACCAAACAAGCACCCCACCCAAATTCTCACAGATATTCTAGAAAAAGTCAATGAAGCCAAGGATAGCAAAAAATATAGTGGAATGAATATATCAATCAGGGTAAGACATTAAGCAGAAGAAAAAAATAGAAATAGCAACAACAACAACAACAAAAATAATGAAATGACAGGCCTCAATTCTTCAATTAAATGACACAGATTGCTAGACAGGATCAAAAACAAAACCAAGTGGGATGCTATATACAGTGAACACATTTAGCCCAAAAAGAAGTCCATATACTAAAAATCAAAGGATGGACAATAATGTTTTACACAAAAGGAACTCAAAAATGAAAACAAAACAAAGCAAAAAAAATACAACCACCTATCCTATTTTTGAACAAAGTAAACTTCAAGTCAAAACTAATACAAAGGGGCAAAGAAGATGATTGTTTACTGGCTGATGGAACAATTAATTCAATGGGAAGAGATAACAATTATAAATATATAAGGACTGAATACCAGCATATGCATCTTCATAAAACCAACACTGCAGCAAAACAAAAGATCAGATAAATAGCAATACAACTATAGTGGGACATGGCAGTACCAAATATCATAAATAAAAAAAAATCATAAATAGATCCACAAAGAAACATCAGAGTTGAGCCATACTTTCAAAAAAATATCTATGGAGTATTCCTTCAAAAGAGAGACTATGCAAAGAACTTCATGAACACATGGAAATTAAATAATGTCCTTTTGAACAAGTAGGTCACAGATTAAATTAAAGAAGAAATTGGACAGTTTCTATAATTAAATGAAATGCAAATACAATATACCAGAACTTAATGAGACACAGTAAAAGCAGTCCTATGAGTAAACTTTATACCAGTGAACATCTCTATCAGAAAAACAACTAGATCAAATAAACAATTTAATGGTGAACTTTGGGCATCTAGAGAAAGAAGAAGTTAACCCCAAACTTACCAGAGGGAGGAAATTACAAATATCAGAGTAGAAATTAATGAAATAGAGACTAAGAAAACAATATAATGTATTAATGAATCAAAAAGTTGGTTTTTTAAAAAAGATTAAATAAAACCAACAAACTGTTAACAAACCTTATCAAAAATGGGAAAGAAAAGACTCAAGCACATTCAATTAGGAGTGAAAAGGGTGAAATCACAACAGATCCTGCAGAAACCCAGAGCATAATCTACACCTACTTTGAGAACTTGTAGTGAAAAAAGCAGAAGAAATGGACAGATTCCTAGATACATATGAATTACTAAAAGTTAATCAAGAAGATATAAAAATTCTAAAGAGACCAGTATTAGTCAATGAAATTGAAGATATAATTACAATCTACCAACAAAGAAAAGCCAGGCTTTGATGTATTCTGCGCTGATTTCTACAAGATATTTAGCAAGACCTACTACCTTTACTTTTCAAACTCTTTAATGAAATTGAAAGGAAAAGAATGATCTGAAATTCATTCCTGGAAACAAGCATTACTCTGAAGGGAATAAGAGAGTTCTGTTAAAAGATCAGACTTCCTTAGACCCTTCTTTTAAAGACTTGAACTACTGAAGAAGGCTAAGAGAATGTTGTTTCATCAAAACAGCCTTTGTAGTTAGAATTGTTTTTTGTAGGTATACCAAGCCTTTTCATAGAAGCTTTATCCAGGCTTATATTATTTGATACAGTTCCCCTGGAGACCAAGAGGTACTATAGTGGTTCCATAAATTTCCAAAACCCTGAAATATTCTCCCTTTTTGTAGGCAGTTAGAAGTGCTCTTATACCCTCCAAGAACTTTGTTGTCAACATGACACCCCAGTTCTCAGCACAAACTATCCAGTTAAATTTCTCCTTTCACATGCAGAAAGATTTTTTTTTTCCTTTGGTGCAGAGTAAATGAAGGAGAGAAATGAGTTTTAGCACAATTATTTCAAATAAAATTTCCCCAGTAATAACTTTTAGCAGTTACTAGGGGATACTATTTTATTCCACTTGAGTGGCAAAATTTAAATATTATCATTATGAGCTGTTGACAAGGATACACACCAACTGGAACCCTGACACACAGAGTTTTATACTGGTTAGCAGTTTTTCAGAAAGTTAAATATATATGGATCCTATGACTAGTAATTCTACTCTCATTTATTCACTTAACAGGTTGGAATTTTATGATTGTTTTCTCTTGTTCTGTGAGTCTTAGGTTTTAACTTTTACAGCTCACAAAAGAACATGTTCCTATAATATCTGTTCAAATTAATTGTCTAATTAGGTCTAAATGAAGTAGAACAAAAAGTAAAAGCTCATAAGAAGCAAAATATAAAAACTATAGTTTATAATCTTCAATGGATTGAAACAATGCCTAGTCTCAATTGCCATTTCAGTGTGTCCTGGGGGTGGGGCCGGCATGGCAGGCCTGGGGATCAAATCCCTGGCTCCTGCACCTGCTTGCAGGCACTTTAATCTGCCGAGCTATTTGGCTGGCCCTGGTTGTTTATTTTAAAGTTAGGTCTTAGATCGTTTCCATCCAAATATACTATTATTTCTTCATCTTAATACAATAAAAATATTACCAAAGTCTCACTGATTTGACCAACTGTTACTCATGTTCTTGCCTTTATGTAGAAGCAAAATTCCTTGAAAGAGTTTTCTGGACTTCCAATCTCCAATTCCCCTTTTAACAGCTTTGCTTAAATTGAATTCAATAAAGCTATTGCTCTTGCTAAGACAAAACTTCTCTTGTTAAAGAAACCAATGGTTTTCATAATTCTAAGACCATGATTTCCACCCTCATCTTTGACATGATAGCACATCTGATACAGCCCATTACCCCTTTCTCCTTAATGGAGTTTTTTTTCTTGTAGGGCAATGCTTCTCAAACTGTAAAATGCAGGCGAGACACCTAGGGAGATCCTTATTATGGTGCAATTTTGGGTTAGTTTCATGTTAGATGTGAAGTTATAGCTTCTCAGTGATGGAGATTTTGCTGGTCCTTGAACCACGTTGAGTGGCAAGGTTTCAGGACACTCTTTTGGCCACTTCTGTGTCTCCTTTGCTTGCCTCTGCTCTTAGCACCCATAACCCCTTCTTAAGAGAGTGGCCATCATAATCACTTAAAAACATAAAGGAGAATATTCGCTGTTGGTCTGCAATCCTCTTGAGACCTCCAATGTCACTTAGAGAGCAAGCCCACCTGCACAATGGGCTTTGCAGTTCTTTCTGACCTGATTCAGGTGCCTTCTCTATCGACTCTTTTCTCCTCCCAACTCATTTTGCTTTATCACGTTGGCTTTTTTCTAACTCATCTAGCAGTTTCTTCTTCCTGAACATCATTCTAAACCTAGCTGTTCGGTCATTTTCTTGCTTTGGAATCTCTGCTCAGTTCTCATTTCCTCAACGAAGGCCCCCGGACTTTCTAGAACTGTCACCCCCCAGGTACTCCTGATTGCCTTAACGTTCTTCTATTTTGCCTTTTTGCACACCACTTATCACTTTCTAACTACCACATAGCCTCTTCCTTTTCTTGTTATATTGATTGCTTTTGGCTGTCTCTTTTGAGCTTTTAGCTGCATGAGGACAAGAATATTTGTCAGCTTGATTCACAGAAGCACTCTAAGTACTGAGTTTGTTGTCTATTCACAGAGGAAGGATATAACTAAATATTTATTGAATGACTCAAAAGATTTCCAACTGGACACTGGGCGAATGACATTGTGTGTGTGTGTGTGTGTTTTTTTTTTTTTTCAGAACCAGGCATTGAACTCAGGTCCTTGAGCTTGCCAGGCAAGTGCTTATTCCACTGAGCTATCTCCCTAGCCCCAAATGACAGTGTTCTTACCCATATAAAAGCATTTACACATGATTAGGGATGATGTAAGTGCTAAGAGTTAATTGCTATTATTTTTTAATAAGGTACCTAAATATGGACTGTAATATTAGAAAAAGAAGAATGAAAATTTTATTCTTGTTATACATATTAGAACAAATTTTATATTTATCCCAGTGGTGATAAAGCAAACTTCAAATTTTGGATTAAATATAAAAAATCAAAGATTCTCAATTGTAGATTAAAAGTGTGCTTACAAAGTTAGCAGATCAGGGCCAGCAAGGTAGCTCAGCAGACCAAGCTCCTGCTTAGGCAAGCACAGGGACCAGGGTTCGATCCCCACTACTGCATACCTCAATGGCCCCGCCTCCAGGTGCACTGAGCCAGCCACCAAGACTGAGTGTGGTGGTGCATGCCTGCAATCCCATTGCTGGGGC